GTGAAGCTTTTAAGCGGACCCGAGGATACAAGTGGTTTAAGTGTTGGCTGTACCCCAACTGTCACGAGCAGGCAGCTAAGTGAATCAGAATTCATGGATTTCCTACGATGCAATACGCTTGGCGTGTGACTCGATCCAAATGTTAGTTAACTTACGATCCCCGATCGGGACTTCGTAGCTTCGCGCGGTTAGACTTTGCCTGCACTCCCTGCTATTGTGCATTTGAATCCGTCCGATGAGGTTACATTTTTCATAATCGCATCACATGAATGAATTAACCGAGAGGACAGTTTTGCCTTTTTTGCAAAAAGTACAATCGCAAAGACACCGAAAAACATTACGAAAGCCGAAGCCGCCATTTTTGGTTTATCAGCCGTAATCTTCCAAACCTGATCCATTCTCATGATGCTATTAGGCAGATCCGTGATGACTGCTAATAAGCAGTAAGCGGCCATTCCAGTCTCCTCAGCCTTTGTCACTAATGTTATTTTGCCTAACCCCCACGGACGCCATTATCACGCGACATTTGCATTTAGTTTCGATTTTTCAATAATTCCCCAGTGAGAGGTTGGGGATTAGAAAAGATGAATACATGAGACCGACACATGACAGAAAAAAGTAAATAATATATGGCAATTTAGGATATCAGAATTTAAGCGGAGGATGTAGGGAGTAACGAAATCGAAAACCACAAATATGGCGAGTCAAGGAAAAGGCAAAAACTCACTTTTTCCTAGCCGCAAGGAGCTGCTCAAGGACCTGAGGAAGGAGACCCTTTCGAACCGACTCCTTGACAAAGTAGGCACCAGTAGGCGTCCGAATGTAGTCATCCGGTGAGAGGCCGTAGGCATCCACCAAATTCTGGACGCCTCCGTGAGCGCTACAATCAGCTGGAGCTAGAAGCGTAGTGTAGCAGAGGTTGTGTGCCATCATGATGCTCGGATATAGGCTAGAAAAGTCCAGCGTAGCGATGGGTTCATTGTAAAAGCCTCGACGCGGCTCTATGACAGTCGCTCCGGTAAACTCGTCTCCCTGTGCAGGACGCTGAGTGGGCAGTAAAAGACCTTGTTCCTTCGCCTTTCTAAGCAATTGAGATATGACCTGCAAGGGAGACATACGCCTAATATTAATACTCGACACGACAAGGAACGAAAGAAAACAAATCGACGCTCAAAAAGCAGATGAATTGAGGAAAACTGCACATGCCACAAACCTTCACTTGCTGTCCTCGCTTAATAAGGTAGGTAATCGGAACGCCCGTCACACGAGCCATCTCCACATTGTTCACGATGGACATGAGTTTGTCCAGTAATCGTAACGGTAGATAAGCATCCTTTAGACAGTAGATTGCTAGCCGACGTCGGGTCTGTTCGTTCCCATTTTGTAAATCGGTGATCACGTTATGCTGGACGTCTTCCTTTTGTTCTTGTAAAAAGTGGTAGCTGACAGCATTCAGTGTATAACTACGCAGCTTGAAGTCCCTTAGGAGAACCTAAAACAGAATATAGAGGTTTGGTGATTTTGAGTTTTTTTAGTTTTTAACCGTGAAATCAAAATAAGACACTTTAAAACACACAATCAAGCTTCCTAAAACCAGGCTCTTGGTTTAATTTGGTATACTGAAGACCGTGAAGGATTCAAAGAGTAAGCATCCATCGGGTGCGTTCATTTTCGATAGTTAATGCCCCCTTTTCTTGTACAACTAAGCATGTAGGATAAAGTAGCTACAAACAAATTTACATCGAAGAGTGTCGGCCAATCTACTTGGGTTGCGGGAACAGTTACTACATAAGTGTGGTAGGCGTCAACTGTGGATAACTGCTAGGTTTATTTAAAAACCGTTCATGGATTAATGCTTGAGTATATTAATCCCTCACTAGGTAAGCTACAATACTACCAAAGATGGGTTCGATTTGAAGTGGGGGAGTTGAGGAATCAAACAATTTAAACCGACCATGTCTGTTGATCGAGCGGGTGAACAGGAACGCTATTTAAGCAATGCAAAACTGCAGAACACAGTTTGCGACCTACCTGAAGTAAATCAAACTGGATGCGACCATCAATGGAAACAAACTTGTTCTCTCGCCGGCCCATCTGCTTTGACTGCATCATTGACTCTCTTACGACCGACTTCGAGCCTGTGACACGACCGAGGAAGGGAAAAGAGTCCACCTTTAAGTGTTCACATCGGCCCATCAAGTAGGGAAGGTCAAAATTTTGCATGTTGTAGCCGGTTATTATGTCCGGGTCCACCTCGCGTACAAATGCTGCCCAACGCTGTAAACAAAAGAAAAGTGCCATGAATGTCTCCCACCAAGTACTCGGCAAACAATCGTTGACGTTTATGAAAAAGGTCAGACACACAGGAACGAAAAGCAATAACTTCTTACCACTGCACTTATACCAACAAGGCTACGCGTCAAGAGAGAATAAATTCACTCAAAAGCCCTATGATCAATGATAGTCACGAGCAAAATGATCTTCAAGTCCATTTCATAAACAAAGGCCGTCCAAAACGAAAAGAATACCAGGCGTCGAGCTCGGCTGTAAGCATTCAGAAACGGCAGTAGAACCGATTCATAGCAGCAACTACTCACTCTATCATACGAGTGTCTCATTGAAAACCGCCAACAAGAATCACTGACAGAGTTAAAATTAAAACATACAAGTACGCAGTTTCTGAATCTACTGCCAGCGCAACCCGCTCTACGACAGCAAAGCTAAATGATAAATGACAACACATACAAAAAGCCCAGTTCAATATAGTTTTTTACAGGCAGTCCAGTAGGTTGCTCTGACAATAATTTTACTCCAATATTTTCCCTCAGGCTCGTAATCGGGGGTAATAATGAGGAAATAGCAAAGGCAGTGCTCACAGGAAGAAAAACCTGCAGCTTCTGGCCAGGGCAACTAAGTCAGCAACGAAACAACAATTACCCCTCGAGCGAGTGACTGAACAAGTAGTAGCTGTTGTGGGGAGGAATCACAAATGATGTCACTCATTCAACGCGAAATGCCCCGAGACGATAATCACCTAATTTATAAGGTGACTCCGTCGTGGTATTAGGAGCTGTAGTCGAGCATCAAACGGAAAGGTAGCCCTTCAGTCGATGCAGCATCAAGATGCCGCCTCTGGATGCTTACGGATAACACATAAACAGTGCCAGTAAAGGACGCCCCCGGAAGAAATGGCAGGAGCTGAGGACCCCCAGATATTCAATCACACAGAGGAGGATAAAGTGGCGGCAGTTTGGCCATGCCTTTGCAGCAGAGCAAAACACCCGTGGCCACAGAGGTGGCATATCGCGCAGTTACTCTACATCTCTGCAACATTGTGATCTACCTGTTAGTGGACGATGATGGGTTTGGTGACGCCAAAATGAACCTACTGCTCCAACAATGGAAACAGTTACTCCAGGATGACAAATGAATGTCTAAAAAACCAGTTGTACGTTTAAATGACAGTTGACAAACTTGTGGTGTGATATTAACAGTTAGGAAATAATAAACATAAAATGACAAGTACCGCTAACATGTCCTTCTCATTCTGATGGCAGATGACGTGCGAACCGACGATGGGCGCGCATGTGTTG